AACTAGATGACATTGTTAACTTTTTTACGAATAAATCCTGCCCCCTGTTAGCTAGAAAACCTAAGTTTATCATACTTCAGGCCTGTCGTGGAGACGAACGTGATAGAGGCGTTCTCGTCCCCGAAGGAGCGCAAGTGATGTCAAAGCCAGATGACCACATTGACGGGCCAGCTAATCAATCAGACCCTAGCTCCTGGATCGCTTTACCGTACATGAGTGATTGCGTTATTGCGTATTCAACACTCCCCGGTTTCGTCTCTTGGAGGTCAGAAACCGGTGGTAGCTGGTATGTGCAGGTTTTCGTTGAAGTCTTAAAAGATTTGGGCAGTCAATTGCATTTTATAGATTTATTATGTGAAGTTAACCGCCGCATGGTGGAAGAAGGGGCTACGGCAGGCTACAAACAGATTTCACAGCCTGTCACTACCTTGACTAGACCCTTCTTCTTAACAGCGTCGCACAAATAAACTGCTATATTTGCATCTCATTCCTTGGTCCTTAATTTCTTACACTATGATCTTCTTATGTAATTTGCACTCTTTATTTCTCAACCTATTTCTGATCGCTACTGCGCCTTCCTTTAATTCAAACATTCACCTATTGGTAAATGAAATTCATACAGGTGCCTGCGAATACTAACCACCTTTTCCTTTCAGGTTATATCAATTCCACATAAGTAGCATGTGATTTTTCACCGGAATGAGTATACTTCATCTTAGATTTCACTGACTTCGTCGATTCGCCACGAACTCGTCCGGACCTAAATATCTTCGGATGTAACTGAACAGCATAATGGACTAATACAGGCCTTTCGTGTCATGCCTCACCAGTTGGCACGACATCCTCCAGATGGGTTGGCTTGAGTGGAATTACAAGTTCGCCCTGATTTGGGCCCCTTAGGATGATCGCCAGAAGTTATGAATGTGGCATTTGTCAGGCGCCAGTTGTCTACATCCTGCAGATTCGTTCGAAGCCGTGGGAATGTCCGAAAATAGAATCACGCAAAAGGACTGTCGACTGATTCCTCATGGCTCAGGCTTCGCAGGCCTACATACCCAGCGAAGGAGGTTCATTATATAAATTTAGTTTAGAACGTCTGAGGACGTATCGACTTGCCGCATACGGAAGAATTAAGCTAATAATCAGTAGAAGCTGCAATCCGCCGACAATCGTAAAATGTTACTTTTATGTTAACCATGTCGTCATTGGAATCGGTGTGTCAGATTGCGGACCAGAATGTGGCTCTATTAAGCTTACTTTCATTTCGAGTGAAAGTGTTGGGTGAAGAGATTCGAAGGTCGGTTCCGCCAGGATACGAAGGTGGATTCCTCTTGACCAGCTGTCGATTGGCTTTACTTGAAGATTCGATGCTTTCGAGGTAATTTCCGTCGTTTCAGGTGAAAAGGTGCTAAGCCTTCGTCCACCATTTGACGAAAATCATAGGACCATGATATCGTCACAATCAAATTCAAGCTAACGAGTCAAAAATAACTGACCGGCAAATCTTTAAAAAGTTGTATATATACTCTACATTTGGCCTCTGATCAAATATGAACTTATTTGGTTAATTACGGTCATGTGAACTTCGATTACTGTGAGTGTGTATGTACTAGCTTCTGCATGAAACCCGCAGTGATGGCTCAAAGTA